GAATGTATATATCTACCTTGGGAGGGGGGATGTCTCACTAAATTTTGTTCCAGCTGGCCTTGACCCACAGTCCTTCTGATCTGTATTTCCCGAGTAACTGAGATTACAGTTGTGTGCCACCACACCCAATCTTTTCATTTTCATATGTTTCCTTTGTGTCTTCTGTGACCCACTGATTGAGTATGTTATTTATTTTCACTCAATAGTGTAGGTGGTTTTCTGGTTTTCTTCTGTAATTGTTTTCTAATTTCATCCATTGTTCTAATTTCACTCAATAAATTTACTTTATGAGGACTTGTTTTGTGGTCAGAAGTGAAGTGTGTTTTGGAGAATGCTGTATGTGCACTTGAGAAGGCAGCATATTATGCTGGTGTGTGTGTGTGTGTGTGTGTGTGTGTGTGTGTGTGTGTGTGTGTGTGTGTGTGTGTGTGTGTGTGTGTGTGTGTGTGTGTGTGTGTGTGTGTGTGTGTGTGTGTGTGTGTGTGTTGCCAGTTGGTGCTTGAACTCTAGGCCTGGGCTCTGTCCCTGAGCTTCTTTTTGCTCAAAGATAGCATTCTATCACTTGAGCCACAGCACCAATTCTAGCTTTTTTTGAGTGGTTTATTGGAGATAAGCATCTCACGGACTTTTCATGCCCAGCCTGGCTTCAAACTGTGATCCTCAGATCTCAGCCTCCTGAGTTGCTAGGATTACAGGCATGTGCCACTAGCCCCATTTGTGTGTGCCTTGTTACAGCCTGGTGGTTACTAGTGCTCAGTTTCTTCCTACCCACCTGAGTATGGTCTGCTCCTTGCTTTGCTATCGTGTGTGTGTGTGTGTGTGTGTGTGTGTGTGTGTGTGTGTGTGTGTGTGTGTGTGTGTGTGTGTGTGTGTGTGTGTGTGTGTGTGTGTGTGTCCACCTTGAAAAGGACTCTGTGTACACATGATACATTGTTGCTAACTACAATCACATGGCTTACAGTAGATCTCCAGTCACATACATAAACATCCTGTCTCTTCAACAGACTTTGGGCTTCTATCCAGTACTGGCCCTGCTGGATATAACAGTAGTTCTTATTTGGGAGTGAAGGACATTTTTGTTTTAAAAACCTTTTTGAGGAATCTGCATTCTATTTTCCATACTAGCAGTTTTGACCTACCTTCATACCAGCAGGATTTCTCCCTGCTCCCCAGTCCTTGCCAGCACTGCATTGTTTGGTCTTTTGGTAACAGCTAGCTTTTTATTCACATACATTGGTCATACAATGTGGGGGTTCAGTGTGACACTTCCTCGCATATTAATAATGTATCCTGTATCAACCATATCCTCTTTTATTCCCTCTTCTTTATGCCCTCCCCCTTTTAAAATAATTTTACCAGGTTTCATTTGTTCTAGTTTCGTAACTGCCAACAACTACTTTGGCTGTATCCACCCTTTATCACCCCTTGCTAGCCCCACCCCCTTCCACTGGGTACTCCCCCTGCCTCCCAACAGAGCTGTTTTAGTTCCCTATCATTCCTTGTTTTTTCCAATGTATTAATTAAATTACTAAGCCATATTCCTGGCCCCTTTTTCATTCTTGATATTGTTACTTTGCCTTTTTTTAATAGACAGTTACTACAAGTTTATAATTTAATAGGCCTATTTTTAAAAACTAGTCTTTAAGCCTGTAATCCTAGCTACTTAGGAAGCTGAAATCAGAGTTTTGAGGCTAACCCTAGCTAAAAGTCTTCTGGACTCCATCTTCAAAATATCAAGCAGAAATCTGGACTTAGAGGAATGTAGCTCAAGCAATAGAATACCAGCCAACCAAGCAAGTTGAACAAGTATGAGGTCCCAGTACTAGCAAAAGAAAACCTAATTTTTGGCTGGGTACAGTGGTATACACCTATAATCCCTGCTACCTTGGAGGTGAAGATGGGAGGATCACAGTTCAAGGTAAGTCTGAGTAAAGTTAACCTGAGACCCTATCTAAAAAAACAGAACAGAGGGACTGGGGAGGTGGCTCAGTGGGAGAATGCTTGCCTTGCATGCATGAGGCCCTAGGTTCAATTCCTCAGCATCACATAAGCAGAAAAAGCCAGCAGTGGCACTGTGGCTCAAGTGGTAGAGCACTAGCCTTGAGCTGAAGAGCTGAGGGACAGCTCCCAGGCCCAGAGTTCAGGCCCCATGACTGGCAAAAAAAAACAAAACAGAAACACACACTCACACCCTCACGCACGCACTCACGCGTGCGCACGCGCACGGACTAGGACATGGGTCAAGTGGGAGAGGACTTGCCTGCTTGCCTAGCAAGTATGATGCCCTCAGTTTAGTCCTTATAACTGGCCCTCCTCCAAAAAAAAAAGTTTTTGGAGTCTTTGATCTTTTTCCCTATTATTTTCCTTATTTAAAATTGCCTGCCTGCCTGCTTTCCTTCCTTTCTTCCTGCCTTCCTGCTTTCCTTCCTCTCTTCTCTTCTCTTGTCTTATCTTGGCTTCTCTTGGCTTCTCTCCTTTGCTTTGCATTACAGCTTTCTGTTTGTTGTGAGGTTTCCCCCTTCTTTCTAGTTGGTTTTTTTTTTTAAATGAAGAAACTGAGATTGATTCTTTTTTGGTTTTGTTTGTTTGTTTTTTGTCAGTCATGGGGCCTGAACTCTGGGCTAAGGTGCTATCCCTGAGCTCTTCAGCTCAAGGCTATAGCATTCTACCATTTGAGCTACAGCGCCACTTCTGGCTTTTTCTGCTTATGTGGTGTTGAGGAATGGAACCCAGGGTCTCATGCTTGCAAAGCAAGTGTTCTACCGGTACTGGGGTTCGAACTCAGAATCTTATGCTAGCTAGGCAGGTGCTATACTATTAGAGTTATACCCAGAACCATCTGCAGGTTTTGACATATCATAATCTGTTAAATAGTCTCTCTAATTTCATTATGTTTAAACAGTATAGTGTTTTGATAGGTTGCATGTCAGATATTGGGTGCTTTCCTGTTCTCTTGCTGTTACTGACATCTGGTTTAATTCCATTATGAACTGTGAACATTGTTGGTGTCATTTCAATTCTTTTCAATTTGCTAAGGGTTGTTTAACGCCCCAGGAATATGACAGGTCTTGGGGGCAGTTGGGAGGGGGGGGCGAGGAGCGGTGTCCTGCTGTAATTGTGTGGAGTGGTATATGGGTCTCTGATATCTGTGAGGGTTGATATATGTGGTGTATCCAGTGATCCAAGGCCTTGGCTGGCTCTGTGTCATCATAACACCCCCCCCCTCCGCCCCCAGATAGGTAGTGGGTCACCTGTCTCCCTCCAGACTGTCACTCTGCTTCCTGTGTTTGGGAGTTCTAATGTCAGAGTCCTATGCATGTAGGGCATCTTCTTGTTGAATTAACCCATTTATCTTTATATTATGCCCCCCTTTTTGGTGGCAGTGAGCTAATTGCATTCAATTCTATTTTGTCTGGTGTTAAGATAGGGACTCCAGCTGGCTGGCTAACTTCTTTTTTCTTCTCCTTTTTCCCCCCTTCCTTTCTTCTCTTCTTTCTGGCTGCCCTACCATCTTCAAATATTTTTTACTGTCTATGTTGCTGTGGCCACTGGTCAGTCACTATGGACTGGTCCCCAGTGTGTCATTAGTGTCCAGTGCTGTGTGCCACACCGATGTCTGTCCTCAGGCTTCCTGCCTCTCTGTGCCTTCTGGACTCTTTAATTGGTGTGCTGTAGAACATTCACACTTAATGTGATCACTGTCCCATCTCTTCTTTGTTCCCTTCATCCTATTTTTCTGCTCTTTTGTCATAGTAACCATTTAACAAACAACTAATGATATACCATCATCTTCCCTCTACCCTGGTCTTCCTTTATTCTGAGAGTGAGTTTGCTGGGGATGAATTTTTCAGTCTTTGTAGATCTAAAATCTTATTTTTTTCATTGTCTTTTAAAGATTCTTTTACTAGGTAATAAGATTTGAAATTTATTTGTGTGTGTGTGTGTGTGTGCACATGCGCGCGCGCCATATTGGGGCTTGAATTCAAGGCCTGGGTGCTGTCCCTGAGCTTTTTTACTCAAGACTAGCATTGTACTACTTGATCCACAGCTCTGCTTTTGTTGTTGTTGATTTTGCTGGTTAATTGGAGATTATAGTCTCACAGATTTTTTTCCGCCAGGGCTGGCTTGGAACCATGGTCCTCAGACCTCAGCCTCTCTCTTGAATAGGATTAAAGGGATGCGCCACTGATACTGGACTGAGGTTGAATTTTATTATCATTCAGTATTTCGACAATCTTTCCCTCTGCTCTTCCAATTGTGTTAGGACAGCTCTCCCCCCTCCACCACCACCACTACCACCCCCCCATCCCTATTTTTTGTAGTGTCCCTCCTTCCCTGGTGGCTTTTTAGAAGTCTTTCCTTTTTCCTTTTTTTTTTTTTCTCTTCTTTTCTTTTGAAACTGTGTCTTGCTTTGTAGCCCAGGCTGGCCCTGAACTGATCATCCTGCTTCTGCCTCCCAAGTACTGGAATTACAGGTATATACCAAGCTCTGATGCTTTTTCTTTTCTTTTCTTTTCTTTTCTTTTCTTTTCTTTTCTTTTCTTTTTTCCTTGCCAGTCCTGGGGCTTGAATTCAGGCCTGGGCACTGTCTCTGAGCTTCTTTTTCTTAAGACTAGCACTGTACCACTTGAGCCACAGCACCACTTCTGGCCTTTTCTGTTTATGTGGTACTGAGGAATTGAACCAGGACTTCATGCATACTAGGCAAGCTCTCTACCGCTAAGCCACATTCCCAAACATGGGCCCCAGTTCACATGTGTCCTGCTCTTATTCGTTTCCTTAGGTGATCCCAGTCAAGCTGTGGTTGTCTGAGACCCTTGCTGGCAACAGCTTTTCCTCCTGACAGGCTGCTGTCCACAGTGTACCATCTGCCCCTGTGATTATGCACATTTTCAGTGTTACCCAGTTTCTTGGAGCCTCACCTATGCTAACTTACAATAAAAAAGGTTTCATGGCCCCTGCTGTGGGCAACATTGCATCATATCTTGGTCTGCTTGCAGATTGAAGGTGGAGGAACTAGAGAGAGAGCGGAGCAGTCTGGAACAAGAAAAGAATATGCTGGAGATGCAGTTGGAGAGGCGCACCCTGCAGGTAGGCATGCCCACCTCTCCTGCTGGCTCTTTCCCCTGCACCCTCACTCATACCTGGTGGGAGTGCTTACAAGGTCTGGCAGGACAACTGGCTGTGCTGATCATCAGCCTCTTCATCCCAGGGTCCTCCTCACACTCCTGGTTTCTCCCACTCCTCTGTGTGAACCACAGCGCCTGTTGGCTTGGATGCCTGGTATGCAGAAATTGGGGTCACAGATATGGAGCCCTGAGTGGTGTGCCTCCACACCAACAGCACCTACCTGCCTTGAGATCTTATGCTGCTGTCTGTATAGTTTCTCTTGACTTTCTCTTTCCTTTCATCCCCTTGATTTACACGGTTCTAGGGCAGGAAACCCACAGTCTGAGATACCCAGTCTCTAGACAGGCCATTGATTTTATCTTGGCACCTATTAGAGGCAATCAAATCTCGTTCCTATCACTGATCCCAGTGACAGGAGAGGTGACAACTTTGATGAAGTGAGATGCTTGAAGCTGCAGCTGGATCATGTGCCTGGCCCTAGGACCTGTCATCTTGTGCCATTATAATTGGGCCACCCTCCTCAGCTGAGGGCTACTGGCGGTACGTCCTCACCACCATAGAGCTCAGCACCACATCAGGATGGAGTGCCGAGCATCTTGCTGCATAACTAGCTGGGTAGAGCCCAAGCTCTGGCTTGATGAACCTGAACCTTAGCAGATTTGGGTGCAGCATTTCCCCACCAGAGCTGCTTATCTTTTGGCTGCTTCTGGGCTTCCAGACCTTTTTACAGGTCTGGAATCTAGAGAGAGATTGTTGAGGAATAAATGAGTGAGAAATGCATATGGACTGTGCTTTGCACTTAGAAATATTAGGTGCAGGTGGGGTGCTATGGGGCTCTCACTTGCATACCCCAGGCTTGGTCACCTGGTGTCCTATCTGCCCCATATAACTTGGAATGAGAGGGCACTAGTGAGATCTCTTGTGACCCTCCAGAGCTCCCAGGCTGGGCTTCTGCCTGGGAGGCCATGGCGCCATTATTCTGTGTCCATAGCTGTTTTCTTGTACCCAGGTTTCAGCACCTGCATGAAAACATGTGGCAATGGCTGCACAGTGCTGAGTGAACCTCTGATGGTACCCAGAGTATGGCTAAGAGGAGCATGGAGGGCTGGGCCAGGTGGGCCTGGATATTTCAAATGTGTGATGACTGAGAGCCCAGCTCAGGATGGCAAGGTGACCATGCCCATTGGTTTGGGGGCATGAGGTTGGTGGGAGGTCATCTCAGTGGTCAAAACTGCTCTGGAAGTGGGTTTTCCAGAGCCAGATTAGGAGTAGGTTGCACAGGCTCCTGTGGGAAGCTCATGGTGGCAATGGCCTCTTATACCTGTTTTCCAGGCCAGAGTTGTTTGTAGTCCTTTAGTTCACCTTCCTCCCAGACCTGGAATCCACAGCAGGAGGTCTCTGATGTGAGTACTGCGCTTCCAGCTTCTCATCTCCCCTTGCCAGCACTGGAGCTTAGCCAGCCTCCATAAAAGGCACCATCCAGGTCTAAATGGACATCTCCATGGTGGGTGGGGCAGACGAGATTCCCCCTGAACTCCTAGCCTGCCCTTCTTCATCTCTCATGCCTGCCATCAGTCACCTCATGTCCTATCTGCCCCCACATGACTTGGAATGAGCATGTACTAGGAAGAACTTGGGGTGGGAGGCAATGGGTCTACAAGTAGGCACCCTGGCAGCTGACCAAGTCCTGGGCACTGGAACTCTCATTCCCAAGTCTCTGTCCTCAGCACAAGGACCTCATGCTGGTTGTAGCTGTGCTCTTCTGGACTGGGTCTGCTTTGTGCGTCCAGCTGCAATTGTGTCCAGAGCAGTGACAGGTTTTTCACTCAGGATCCAGCTAACCTGCAGATGGCATTAATCACCAGTATTAAGGGCCAATTTCTGTCTGATTCTGACACTGGAACTGAATCCCTCCTCATCCCACTACTTAGTGCATGAAGAGCTGTGGTCTGAGCACCGTGGAGGCCATGGGTTCTGCTCAACCCATGTCCCTGACTGAGGGAACTGGAGGAGCTGACTGATGGATCAGCCCAGGAGGAATGGGCAGTGGGTGGGAAGAAACTCAGGCACAGGGCTTGGCAGGGCCCTCCCTCACTGGATGGGCTTGGGCCAGGTAAGGTTAGAGTGGCAATACACCCATGACGGAGTCTGAGGCCATATAAGGGGTTCACTAGTGCTTGTGTCTGTCTGCTGACTCCTTCTGTCTTCATCATTGAAGGCAAAACCATTATATGTCCTCGTTACATCTGTCCTGACCCTGGATACCTCAGGACCTCAGAGAATAGCCAACATTATGGGTGTTGGCACAGTGGCTTCTCCAGAGTGCCTGTTCATGGCACCTGATGCCAATCAATCCTGACACTCTGTACAGACCTAGTATGTGTAGTCCAAAAGGTCCCAGGATATGATGAAGGGACTGCTGAGTTCCCTAGACATGCTTGATTAGTTCACCCAGTAGTCTTTCAGGAACACTCCCTCTGCAGCTCTGCCTCTCCTGCATCCCTACCTTCCTACATCCCTGTTCTCTCCTACTACACCCTTTTTTACAGCTCCTCTACACAATCCTTCCTTCCTCCTTTCCGGAGGAGAGTTGCTCTAAGTTAGCGCTTCAAGGAAGATTGATTAAAATCAGCTGCAGTTTGACTTAATTGGGAACATATGCTTGGAGAAGGAGCTGGACTAGTTAGAATTTTTTGTAATTAGTTCACAGCTGGTTGGCAAAGAAGCAAAACTCCAGTTACTACTTGGATCTGATTATGTGGGCATATTCGGGTGTTCAGGGAGACACCAGGGCTGGTGTGAGGGCTGATTATGGTGACATTCTGGTTATCCCAAAGGTCGTTGGCTATTTGCACACTGACCAGATGACCTGTGTGCATTTATTTCTAGCATAGTGAGTGGATGGGAAGGGGTAATAGGCCCAGTCAGGTGGATGACAAACTCAGGCCCCCTTCCATGCTGTCAGAGCTGCGCAGAAACCCACTAATGATTGGAAAACTGATGAACTCAACCCTCCCTTTTTAAGGCAGATGAGTTTGAGCATGTGGCATTGTTCTCAAATAGTGAGATTAGGCAAAGCCTGTAGTTCCAGAGCTACAGCCCCCAGTCAGCAGTTACACAGCTACTGGAACAGCTGCAGGGGCAGCACCATGAGAGATGCCATCCTTGTCCCTGTCCCCAGGCCTGTAGTGCACAGCCGCTGACCCTCCCTCTCCACTCCCCTTGTACCAGTTCTGGCAGTGCTGATGTCCTTCCTATGTCCCTGATGGGCCTCCTGTGCTCCTCCTTATAACAGATGTGCAAGGGGCCTTCAACACCTGTAGCAGGTCATGGCCATCAGGCTCCTCCTGGGCTTGGACATTTGGGCTTTCCCCACAGATTCTTTGCAGATGTGTTTGAAAGGAGGTCCCTTCACATCCCACAAGCCAAGATGTTGCTACCACCATGACTGTGACCCCATGGCCTTTGTTGTCATATATTGGCAATCAGAGCCATGTTTCTGTGTTTGTCCTTCTGATGGTCTAAGCCTTGGGACTGTGAAGGCCTGGGGAGAGGCCAGATGCTAGCAAGTCCTGTCAAGATTTCACACTGTCCTGATACAGAGAGCTTGTCTGTGAAATGGCCCATGTGATGTGAGATGACATGTGATGAGTGAGGTTCCCTTCATGTAGAGCACACTGCACACCCCTGGCAGTGCATCAGTGCCCTTTTGGCACCCCAGAGTTTCATCATGAGCATGTTCAAGCATACAGACATAGGCCCATTTACCCACCACCTCTATTCTGCCTGGTGCATTCACTAGCTGCTTCCTGACATCACTCCCCATCCCTCTGTCATCCATCAGTCCATTTTATTCTCTTGATGTATTTGAAAGCAAATTGCAGACATCTGTGTGCTTCCTCTAAAGACTTGGACATGCGCGTAATTAGCAGAATTCATCTCTGGGATTCTGAAGCCTGTGCCCCCACTGCCCACAGTGTTACCTCATCATAGTGCTTATTCACACAGGCCGGGGGTCGGGGCGATGGAACCCCCGCTCTGCCCTATCCTCCCTCTGGCTGGGGCCCACCTGAAGCACTGCTCAGGAAAGAGTCCAGACGAGCTGCCCAGTGATATTTAAATAAGTATGTCTTTTTTGGAAATGGAGTGGGTAGAAAATTGCTGGGTTCCCTTAAGCAGAAAGCTCCCTATGCCTGGTGACATCCCTGCTTCTGTCTGCATCACAGGCAGCAGTGTGGTCTCATCACAGCCTCTGGGTTAAAGCTCACAGCTTCCCCTTCTTCTCTCTTCCCCTCTTCATGTTGCCTTACCTGCCCCCTTCATGCCTACCCGTGACAGCCCCTCCAGGAGCCCAACTGGTCCCTCACTACAGGCTGCAGTCCTGCCTGTAACACCTTTCCTCAAAGTTTGAAACCAGCCTCCAGTCACACCTGCCAGGAGCTCCAAGGCTCCCAGAAGCCCTCACTCCCTGGTGCTTCCACTGTTGAACTCTCAGCTACTGGTAAGACAGCTGCCATTCTGAAATACTTTTACAGACCAGCTACTGGGTGAGTCCCTGAAGATGCCTGAGATGCCAGCTCCCCCTCTAGGCCAGGAGATGCTGGGCAGCCTCCTGATGCCTTGCAGTATCACGCGCAAAGGGTTGACACCACTTCCACTGTGTTAAAGGTCAGAGAAATAGTTGACCTGCCACACTGCAAGAAGGTGACAAAGCCAGAATCCAGACATCACTACCTTAAGTCAGGTCTCAGGGTGTCCTCCCAGGTGTGTCTTGGGAAGTCCCTGTCTCTGTTGGCTCCAATCAGCCTTTCTTTTTTCTCTAAGTGTCAAGAATGTCTGTTAAGACCACAGAGCCACTTCCTACCTCCACCCCCATATGGAGTGCCCTCCTGACGCTATCCTGTGTCTCAGCCATAGCCAAATCCACACTTCCTAGTCTCTGCTGGCCTCTGCACGTGACC